CCCCATCCTACTGAACACCATGCACCAAGTGTCACACAATGGGTACTGTGCATTTGATAGCTCACCAAAACAAGAGCAAAACACCTTTTTCAATGTAAATACTGCAAAACATCCCAGCAGACACGCTAGGTGAGGAGCCTGAGCGCACGTGCAACACAGTGGGCAAAGACTCTGTCAGGTCTTGACATGTGAGCCAAAGGCTCAGACTCAATAGCAGGAGGCCTGTATGTGCTTCAAGGAGAAGACAGACCCACCCGCCAAGCTACAGAAAACAAGCCACAAGGGTACCACTAAGGGTACACCAGCCCTTAGATGCCCCTCATTGCTTCCTGGCAAGCTCCAGAGGCCAGTGAGCTGCTAGCAAAAGGCAACTGATACCTGTCCTGAAATATTGCCCAGTTATTTTAGCACACAAATAGATTTAAAACTACTGCACAGTTACTGAAAAACGTACTCTAAATTAAAACCAGTTCAAGCACTGCTGCTCTACAAAGGACCCATGGTGTCTCCAAACACAAATACTAAACATTCATACAACACTTCTCAAAAGAGCAGCTCTTGACTCCTCACAACACCCCTGCGAGGTAGCTAATAGGGTTATCCCTGCTTTGCAGAGAGAGAGAAGACAGGCAAGGCTGGAGACTCAGCAGATGATGGGGTTGCAAAAGAAGCTGAGGATGCTGTGGTCTGGCTGGCTACATCCAAAGAAAGATGGAGTGTTCCCTTTGCTGCTCTCCCTGCTGCTAACATAAACCACCACCTGCACACAAGAAAATAAAAACAACAAACCCTGATAAACCCCACAACATAATTTAGTGGAAGTTTTCTGCTAGGCTTCAGGTAGGCTTCAGATCAGGTTATGCTACTGAAGCTGCCTGTGACATAAAAAAAGTTTTCAAAGTCTCCTTGGAGCTTAAAGGAGCTTTTGCTCGGGGTCTCCATTGTAGGGATGGGAATCCCAACTGCAGTCCTGCCTAAGGTGGCATATGCAGCCACCCCTTCTGGTCAGCAGATTCAAATACAGCACCTCTGGACTAGTTTATTTCCTGCTGCTTCAACTGATCTTCTTTCCTGATGAAGTCCCTTCACCTGTGGGGGTGAAGTGGATACTGGGAACAGGAGTTTGAACCAGCTTTTTCAGTGGGGTGAGCTGTCCTCAGGTTCCTGCACGCCTCCAGCCATCTGGGCCATGCAGCAGCCACACCCTGGGCTTCGGACGAGATGGACAGGCCACTGGGACTTGGTGCATGAAGGGCAAGTGGGCACATAGGCACCCATCATGTTATCTCCTCAGCAGTGGGCTGTGGTGACGCTGATGCTCTTGTGCACCATTTTCCAAACCTCTGTGCCCAGGTTTCTTGCCTTGATTGTTGATTTCTGGGTGGGCTAAACCAGAAGGGCTGAGATCAGGTTCTGGACAATGTGCTCCCCTCTCCCACCTCCTATACTGTTTCCACCCTAGCACTTAACTTGCTCAATGTAAAAAAAGACCTCAGCTTGGGCATCGTGATTAGACACCATCACACCTCCAGCAGCTTGCTAGTGAATGCAGGAGGTTTACCAAGGCAGCAGCCCCTTTTCTGTTAAGCCAATGAACGGAAAGGCAGCAAGCCCGCTTGCTGCCCAGGACCTGCAAGAGAAAGGCCAGCAGAAAGGCCACTTAGCCCAACAAACCAGGCTCGACCGTCATCACTGTCCTTGTCACCTTGAGAACTTGGGAAACAACCACCCGGCTCTGCCTACAACCATGGGACTGGGAAAAGAAACAAAGATCTATTGCTACAAAGGCCTTTGAAAGCCACACTGTTGGCTGCACTGACTGATCAGGCATTTTAAAGAAAGCATTTGGGACTGCTATGCCTTGTGTCTGCTTCCATGGCTGTGGCTTTCCAAGGCAGGCAAAGGCAGAAGAAAACACGCAACACATACGCCAGCCCTGCCTCTCCCCCCATAGGCAGTGAGGCTCGGGGAGCTTCGAGGAATAAAAAATGAAAGCGTTTTCCAATCTGCCCACAGGAAAGATGCAAACTGAATTTGCTGGTGCTTCCTGGTGCCGGCAGTCACGGCTCCATCTCCTCGCCAGGCACTCGTACCAAAGCACAGATCGACAGGCGATGGCTGCTGTGCTGTCACCCCGACGCAGCCCTGCTGAAAGTGGGGTCCCGAAAATGGGGCAAGGGTGCTGCTTTAGCACCTGCTTCCTCTCCCTCGCCTCCCCCTTTCCCCACTAAAACGTCACCGATTTGGGCAGCTTTGCCAAGGGAGGAGAGCCTGAAAGGAAACTGTTCTCTGAGCAGGATTTGGCAGCCTGCAGTGGTAACTTTGGTTTGGGGCTCAGGGGGGGTCGTGGGGCTTGCAGTGCGTTTAATGGTTTCTGGAGGCTTTTCTGGGCACCTGCCTCTTCCAGGTCCAGCACAAGAGGTGGTGGCATGGAGGCAGCAGGCAGGGGACATCCATTCTCTGGCAGAGGCAATGCCACCTGCTTCCTGTTCGAGAAGTCCTGCTCTATCCCATGGGCCAGGTGGAGGGGAGTGGTGGTTTTGACAATGGTGTAGGGGCTGTTCCCCTCCCCTGCGGGGGATGGTGCCTGCTGGAAAGGGTAGTTCTCACCCAGCCCTCCTGCCCCCGACTCGCTGCTGGACAAGGC